CCTTAAGAATAGATCCAGTTGCCTCTTAAAGGACTCCTGGGAAGTCGCTTGGACTAGCTCGGCTGGCAGCGAATTCCAGCATTTGACAACTCCTAAGGAGTAGAAGTTGCGTCCATAGTCCATTCTGCTATGTTGTGTCTCTAGTTTCTGGGACTAAGCTTAAGTAGGAGTTTTAGGGGATGTCCAGAAGTGTTAAGGTTATTGTAAGCCATTAGGTCACCTCTAAGACGTCTATACTCTAATGAGTAGAGGCTAAGTGATTGGAGGCGTTCTTCATAAGGTGATTTGGTGCATATCTTCATCATTTTCTTGGGAGACTTTTAAACTCGGGTCCTCTCATAGCTTATTCTAACCACCATGGGTTGTCACAGCAGCTGATGGATGGACACGCGTTACACATCCTAACCGTCCCTGCGTCTAATCTCATAGCTTCTTATTCAAATGTCACGTGATAAGCAAGTAATGCCTCTAACGACACTAATGGAACACGAGTAACTCAAAGGCACCCTGTATGGTACCTTACATTGGTCTACGCACTCACTTAGCTCCTTAGTGAGAATATTAATACGGTCCTGCTGAAAATCCCATGAACCCCCCTAGCTCCATCAAAACAAATAAGTCTGTATTTGCTGCATATAGCAATTTTATTATTCAAAAGTAAGATATAACAGTTAGAATTGGAGTAGAATGGCAGATGCACGTGGTACATGTCTTCATTGACTAACTGAAATACAGAATACGGATATTAGCTTAACAGACCTATTTAGAGAGACTAGTGTCTAATTTGAACTTATTGCGTGAGAAAGTTATACTGGAACTACGAATGTTGTAGAAATACAGTTTCTCGGGGCGTACAAAGCACTCAGACTGTAAGACAGTTGTGCAAAAATAATTCGAATATGAAGGTGAAAATTTGCAGGTACTTTTCATCGTAAGGGTGAACATATTAGGTACCAGTTGACATCATACCGTAAAAAAACACAAATTTGCGAGTGGTGAAATATGATTTATAAAAAAGTGAGCTTAATAACAGTTAATTATCTTTTTACTCCCTGATCATGACCTTTCGGCTTCCTTTTATGGCCAAGACAGCAAACATACACTACACACTGGTAGCAGATTTCCGGCTTTTCAATGTTAAGCTCGCTTTAACGCACTGCGTAATAAGTTCAACCCCTCTATTGCTGATATATGGCATATTTTTCATAACGAACCCTCTGCAATAGATTCGTAGCATCTGTGACCTCATATGTAGTTGTCGGAAGTCTGGGTCCTTTCGAAATCAATAGCGATATACCCTACTGCTGGGCACTCTGTATTAGTTTGACTCGTTGGTGGGATAGTAATGTCCAGAATACTGAAGAAAATAAAAAAACGCAGATTCTCTCCTTTCATTTTGCCGATAACATCATAAAGGAAAGTTAGGACCGAACATGCGAACAGCTAGAGTCACAGGCGGCAGCAACAATTATTTTAGCTAAATAAAAACGAACTTCGGCTTTGGATATCTAGAAAACAAGGTAAAACAACCGATTATCATTTAAAAACATAAGGTCTTATGTTGGTACTAGCCAGCTTAGCTGAATAAATACAGTGACTTCAGTAGCAGCAGGTAAAACCCAGAAAACAAAGCAAAATCAGGAAACATTTTGCTCCAACGTTTAGAGCATTACATTGACTTCTGCATTTTAACACACTGAAACAATAAATTATGTAGCTACACAAACGAAATAGCGGAAAAACACAGAACAAGGAAGCCGGCCGACATTTTATAACACAAGACTAGCCAGATTGCCTGAAGAAATACACAGACTTGAGTAGAAGCAGCAAAAACCCAGAAAACATCGCTGATTCGAAATAAACTTCACACCAACATATAGAACATTACAGTAACTGCGGCATTTTAGCACACTGAGACATTAAATTACATAGCTACACAAAAGAAATAGCTGAAAGAAGCAAAGAACGAAGAAAGCCGACCGCCATTGCTTACAAAGATGGCGGATGTAATAATTCCCACCTCATTCTGATTGAATGCTAAGCTGAATACCAAATTTACGAAATTGAGTTGCGTTTAATTGCAGCCTATGCAAACGGATAAATTAGTGTTTCTGTCTACTAGCCACTGTTTACGCGTATCGATGATTAGATTATGGTGTTGTAGAAGGTCCACACCAATGATTGGCGTAGAAACATCTGCAGCAACGAAGATCCAGTGAACGGGTTTGCGTAAACCCACGTTAAGGTAAACGTACTTTTTGCCATACGTAGCGATAGGCTTTCCGTCTGCCGCCTGTAAGCTTAAAACCGATTCGTGAAGCCGGTCATTGGAAGTTGCTGGGAGAACGCTAACTTCTGCACCAGTGTCGACGAGGTAGTGAACTCTCGTTGTCACATCCGTGACGTATAACAGACGGCTGTCCGCCGTCTACAGTTACCGTTAACGCGTGCCGGCTTGGAAATTTCCCGAGTTGTTTTTCGAGTCAGTCGGTTTTGAGTTGTGAAAATTGCAGAGTTTTCTGCCATTTCTGGAAGACTTTCCATACTGGTTATGATACCAGCACCATCCGGGATTATCCGTCTCTCGTGGTCTAGAGACAGATCGTTTACGTTACGAAAATTTAGACAACGCGTAAGTGTATGACATAGCTCTGTTATGTCATTCTGAGTCGTTTGGGGCTTTTCTTTGACTGAAAAAACCTCGGTAGTAGAAGATTTCGTAATCTCTAAGATACGATCGGCAGATGCCGCCAGCTCGTCTAAGGCGTTATTCTGAAACGAGACCAGAACCGCTTGCACCTGTTGGGGAAGTTTGGACAAGAAAAGTTGGTTGAATAGACCTTCGTCGAAAGTTCTTAGTCCTATAACCTCTCTCATTCTTTGCAACATGTCCTTCGCAGAACCTTGTTGCAGGTCTATGTTATTAAAGAGTTGGTCTAACCTTCGTCGATCGATTAGGTCTCCTCGTTTAAGAATCGAAGGCTTTAAGGTTTCGTACGGGTCACAAACATCACTAGTAAACATACTAGGTGTTACGTACCTGTTGAATTCCCGCGGTAGTGCCTTGACTACTGCGAGGAATTGTGCACATGTGTCGTTCACGCCGTGATTGTGAAAGTCGGCTTCTGCGTAGCAGAACCAGGATTCGATATTGCCGGGCCAGAAGGGCATGAGTTGGAACGAGGGTGGGCACATGACCTTAATCTTAAATACCGTAGGAGTTTGTTCGGTCATAGGAGAATATTAAGTACGAGAATACGAGGAAAAAATATATAGATATCCTGAGACACGGGGAAAAATATCACAATGTATTAAAATTAAAAAATAAGGCAATAATATATAAAAATCACAAAAAGGAACAGACTCATAGTTGCAATTAGGTGTACCATATCACTTCGGTCTCACTAATGAAGATGGCACAGGTATTCAGCGTTTGACAACGCTTTTACCAGTAACACCTTCTAATATAATTCGTACCCACCAAGAGAAATCAAAAGACAGAGTCGAGGAGATCGGAAGAGTGTATTTGGCGATAACCAATATATCGGAATTCTCTGGTCTAATCTGGCTAGCGATTGCGGTAGATTCTGAGCACAGCGTTACCACACGTGATCTGGTGCGGATGCCTGACCGAGCGCCTTCAGCTAGATGAGTCCACTAAAACATATGGTCAGCATCCAATGTCGAAAACTTACAGAGCTATTTATTTTGGGGATTTATTTACCGCTACAACTTCATATAAGAAGATGCTTTGAGTCCCAAATGCAGTAAGGTGATCCCAGTTTGGCTCATCTGTGATCTCACAGTAACCCCGTTTTCACAGTACTTCACTTCCTAAGTCCATATTGCTGAAAATGTGTTTCATCCTCAAGAACTACAATCACAAGTCTCTCAACTTATTATTGGAAAGCTCAGGATTTTGAGATCTGCCTTCCGTAAAACGTTGAAGATGGGCTGTGTTTTGAGCCCCAAACGTTAAACGTAAAAATTCAAAGCGAACAGATGGAGTGGCTGTTCAAAGAATGGTTCCATCGAATATCAAACTCCACCTTCGGGAGATTAACAACTTTATCTTGAAAAACACGTTCACATATTCTAATGTAGTTAAATGGTTGAGGACATGGAGATACAGTTATAGGTCAGCAATCTTCGTTTAAATTCACTGTTTAAATGCCGAATCACTGCTTTATTTTACTCGCATTGAATGAAAAGGGTGTAAAGCCGAATAACCACTCAAAGTATGAGCTGTTAAAAATCTCAGAAGGTGGAGGAGGGTGTTTTCAGTTCACGGATCTTTAAAAGTTAATTTGCATTCATTTTGGGAACATAGGTAATTCAGCTACGGTGAACAGCTGGATAACATTGTCGGTTGCATATAGTAATTGTACTGAGCTAAGTTTGGAGTACTTTTTGAGTGACAGTTGAAATTGTCGGTCAACATCATAAGTACGTGAGGCTGAATATAGATCATAAAATCTCATACTGGGTTTGTGCAGCTTTTCGTCTCTACACATCGACGATCATTCCTCGGAGTAGTGGGCAAGTTCTACTGATCGAATTATTCAGCACAAGCTAATAAATAGGATCTGATTAATCGACTAGAATTTCATATGCCTTGTATGATCCCTTTTCCTAAAATGCGTATGCAGTTGTGAGAATTTAAAATATCCTTACTAAACACCACAGAATAACCACATCCATCTTTCAAGAACAAAGGACTATTTATGAAGAGTAGATGGGGAGGCATTTATAATAAGATTCATTGACAGAAGAATAATAAAGCCATTAGGCTCAAACTTCATAGTGTTTAAAATACGTGTGGATGTAAGAGAAATTTCATCTACCTAGCTTCCGTGCCTACTTTCAATGAGTCGCTGCTAGCCTGAAGTAGAAACATAAAGAACATAAAAGACAGATTAATGTCCTAGATTAAGGACACAAGGCTATTCATAAATAAAATGGATGTAGAGAAAAGAAGTTAGACTTAATATAGCGATTTTGTTAAATTGTTCAGCCGGGGAGTTTGAAACCCTCCGTAATCAGCTGACTATGTCCGGCGACAACAAGAACCAAAATGAGGTGGAGGTTATGGAGTACACAACTGTTAAAGTATGATGACTCAAAAACGTAAACTCCCTTTCAAAGGCTAGCTATGAGTCACTAAACAAGCGGTACAGACGCAATCACCGAGACATGGAGAAAGGCATAGCTGCTTTAAATAAGTCACTTGACGAGTTGGAAAACGCAACAGATATCACAAAAGCTACAGCAGCACTTAGCAGAGTTCTAGAAACCGTTTGTGGCGTGAAACGCAAAGTAGGGAAATACAAACTCACTAACTTCCCTTTAGGCTGAATTTGTATGTATTGAAGAAAGGAAGCTTTTGAAATCATGTAAACGCAGAATAGGACACCTTAGTCAACTGTGTTTGCTTGATAGTGGGATGTTTACCCGGGCCTCAGGTCAGTATTTTTTAAAGGACAAACCTGTCGCTTTTCAAATTGCATGCAATATATTGGGTTGGATAGGTTGTCGCAGTCGATCCTCTCAATAAGTTCTCTTAGTAATTATCATCCCTTTAAATGACACGGCTGTGGTTAATTCTGACTAAAGTTTTAGGTCGTTGGCGTGAAGTAGCATTGAGGATCAAACGGTACTTTTGAGTTCAATCACAGTATTAAATGTAACGAGTCCTGAACGGAGCCTTACGGTACTCCGTCGAGCACTGGTTTTCTGAAAGTAGATTATGGAATTTATTCCTGTTCTTCTGTTGCTGCTTACCAAAAATTGCTTGACTTCTTGTAGTAAAGGCCCAGAAATCTATACGTTTTCAAGCTTCAATAAGAGCCTATTATGTGGCACCTTATCAAACGCTCCACTGAAGTCATCGTAGACAACACCCATTGAATTTCTGCTACAAGATGACTCCGCCCGTCTTTCTTTCTATAGAATTGCTTTAGCATGATAATGCTTTCCTGAACCTACCTCCACTGTTTGAAAAGTTTTTGGTTTCCGCAATGGTCAGAATGATCGGCCTGATGATTCTTTCCAATATTTTAACTAAAACACTAGTAAAGTTGACGGGTTTGAAGTCTGACGAAAATTGTCTTAATCTTATCTTGTTAACTGGAGTGATAGTTGCGTCCTTTCATTCCACATGTAACTTGCTGAGTGATATGAATATCGTAGCGAACGGAGTAGTCATGTTTACCGCAATTTCTCTCGAAATTCTTAGATCTTGCTCGTTTGATCCTACTGACTTTTTTGTGCCTAAGGACCTCAGTCCATTTAGTGCGTCATCCTGGTTATTCGGTTTGGCTACATGACTTCTCGACCCAGTCCTTTGTAGGGAGAAGGCTCGTGAATGAAGACCATCTCGAAGTAGTCAACCATAGTCTCTGCTTCGTCTTAATCTTCTGATGTTAAAAATGCCCTCCATTCCGTGCATAAACTGAAAATTTGTGGGTATGTTCTTATTCTGTAATTGATGTGTAGGAACAGTCAATCAGTCAGTAACAACGTAGGAACAACCGATTAGGGTGCTTGATTACAGTTTGTACTAATTAATTTTCATATTTGTGCTGAGCCAAACAGATTGTGTTTATATGCTTATTCCAAATCACTTTGTAACGTTTCATTGCATTTTCTGCACCAGTACTGATGGCGATGTTCAAGCATTTCTTATTTGATCTTAGTAAATCTCGGATCTGTGCGTGTTTTTTCTTCGGGACGACAGTTTATTTATTTAAACATGAACATGGGTACAATGAGGCACCAAATAAATATGCGCCACATAAATCGTTCGATTTATATGAGGGCTGGGATACTGCCCGGGTGCCAAAACCGAAGCAAGCTATTTTCTTAGGGGGCCACACCCAGAGCCTTTGACCTGGAGGTCCAGTCCAGTGGATCAACTTAAGGAGATGCAGTCCCTTGGTAGCCGGTGACCAATAATTGGTTCATACGCCGTTTGTTCGCTCAGGATCCTGGAGCCCATGTGCATCATTAGTTTGGAATCAGGGTTTTCCAACTCCCCTAGGTGGGTCTGTGTTTATCGACCCAGTTAAGAAGATGGACATTCGCTTTTCGTCCTCTCAATTCCGGAAACAACACCCTGGTGAGAGAAGGCAGTGAGTAGAACAAATGTATAAAGGTTCTAACTACTTAAGTTTTTTGATGGACAAACAATATTAATTACATTATCATAAGATCAGAATCACTTATTGTTTTGTTGTATGACAGTTAGTAACCAAAAGTTTTCAGTGTTACGGCTTCAGGATCATTTGGATTCTAGACATTCTATTATTACTAATTTGTACTTATTTATTTCAACTTTTTACGTGACTATTTTATAGTGTGACAAACTTGACTAAGGTACCGTCATAGTCAGCTTTACTACAGTTGTAATCAAATAACAAGTTACGTTAAAAGTAGTAAAAAATCCTAAATTTTGACATTAAGTTATATAACCACATTCCGCTCATTTGTATCATTTGACACTAGTAATCGTATTTCGGAGAAAAATGTCTTTTTTCTTTATCTATCTCAATTTTCACTGTTTTTCTAAATGATGCACTATTGCAGATGAGCTACATTTCAACGCTAGTAGTAATCAAAAGTCTGAAGAATCAATTTCTAAAGTTAATAGTAGTGAATCAGACACTACACTTAAACGCCGCTCTACTTATTCTGTTGATGAACGCGCACTTTGTCTAGCAAGATTCCAAAGACACTTAACAGATTATCTTTTTACAAGTGGTCAACCTTTATCGGCTTTGAAATTCGCTCAGGAGAAAGCCGAACTGGGTGATCTATGTATGATGGAAGTTTTTGATGAAGCTGTGTCTATTGAAAAGGCACTTTTAGAAGGAGATACAGGTCCAGCATTCTCTTGGTTGCAAGAAGCTAACTTCAAGTTGAAGAAAAACGATGTAAGCAAACTAGTACTTTTTACTTATCAATAAAATGTTTCACCAAATCATTCCTTATGTGTCTGGTTCTCCTGTGAAGCGGGATTGAGCTGTACTGTTTGGGTTGTCATGTGAAAGTCTGTATAGCATCTGGTTCTCCTGAAAACCAATGTAAAATTACCCTGGCCCACAAGGGTATATTATATAACTAAACTATGAAATCATCCCTTGTAAGTCAATAGTGTAGGTGCTTGATTAATCACCAGTCACATTTCGGATTTGCGTTGACAGTACCGTATAAGTTGTCAATAAAGTTGGTTCAGAACTGTCTGGAAGGTCATCAGAAATATGTAAAATGAACAAAGAATAGAAAATTAGTTAAAACTACCCATCTTTTTTAAACCTAGTTTGACTGCTCTCATTCACATAATATTCACTTCGGGAATAGAATCACCAGTATTAAATTTGCCAGAACATCATATTTTCATAAACTGCTTCCACATATTTGATTGATTAAACATCGTTTACATGCGAAAATTTGTAGTGGATTAGCTTCGAGTTATTAAATAAATCCCAACAGTCTTGGAATTTAGAAGACAACACGAAGCGCTTACTACAGTTTACTATTTAATATCACAGATCACTAAGCCACAACAATACCAAGCGAATTCGAACAGAAAAGCTAATGTGCGCGAGCGAGCGAATTAAGAGTCGGATAAAAAATTGAATAAATAGTCGAGTCAGTTAATTAGATTTAACCATATGTATAGGAAAGCAAACGATTCATCGAGCGACTTAAGCTAGAGAGAGGGATATATGCGTAGACTGTCACATTTGATCAAGCTTACATGTTCTTACAGACACGATAATAATGATAATACAAAAACATTGACATTGTTACTGTTCAAATATCACTGTCTGTTAAATAAGTTAATTGAAGGGCTTGATAAAATTAACCGTAAGCAAACTTAAGTCTTGGAGAGGTGCTGTAAATTGCCAAAGAACGAATAAATGTTGATGAAAGGATTTCGGCTTTCATATTTTCTGGTTAAAAGTTTTTTATCGCTTCCATAAATTTATACTTTACGATGTTTTGTCTTTCAATAACTTTTTATTTAGTCGTATTATGAATTTGATCTTCGTGTATTCGAGTTCTATCTACTTGTCAAGCAAGGGAAACGAATTGAAGCCATCCAGTAAGTTGTTGACTTTAATTGTTACTTCTTGTCGATTTCATGTAAAGCTTATTTACTACCAGTTTTTACCTATTATTTGGTCAAATTGATAGTTCATTTTATGTGAATACTATAGTTGTATTTACAGCTTTTCATGTATATTCTTAAGTGCCTTTCACTTAATAATTATCATTGTCAGATAATTGTAATGTAAATAATCTTTAGCTTTTACCAGTTTAACAGCCTCCAGAAATGAAAAAATAAGTTTTGATTACCTCATAAACTTCAATGAAGAAGCCTCTATCCACTGGGACTGGTTGAACTGAAACTCAATAAGTGCTTGTAGTGATGGTATTAGACAACTGGTACCAGTCAATTCATAGCATACTTCGTTTTAGAGGTTACCAATTCAATTGGATATATTATAATCGAGTTAGCAATGGTATGATTTTGGAGAAACAACAAGTTTTCATACCACTCCTGAAACTAAGAACAGATTACGTGCGGACTTTCTAGGTGTGAATGAATAGTTTTTGAATACTTATCAACTGCTTAGACTTTTTGATACCTATGTCTCGATTCCACGAATCTCTCTCTCTCTCTCTCTCTCTCTCTCTCTCTCTCTATATATATATATATATATATATATATATATATATATATATATATATATAATGTTTTTTACAACCAATTCTATTATCCATTTTCGCTATATCACAAAACAGTTGTTGATAAAGTAACTTGATGACAAAATATCTGTGTGAAAGCTTGGCAAACCCAATTATAATTGATTTAGTTATTTCTCATGTCAATGAGTTGACCAAATATTTCATAGTTATCTTTTTAAAGATGTTGATAAGAAAGTGCAGTTATGAAATTCGCGTGTTCTTGATTATTCCAGGTAAGCCGGGCAATAAGTGATTTACCATACAGTATTCTCAAGGAATTAGTTTAAAGATATGTCAATTTTAACGACAATCGGAAAGTGCAAACAATATTCATCAAACTTATTTTTAAAGCTAGTATTGCTGTTCTGTGGTATTGTTTAGACAGAACACAAGCAAAATGTAGGGCAATAGCCACTAGTTACAGTTATGAGTTATGCCTAATAACTTGTCTGTCTACTCAATGGCGTGATTTTTCATACTGCATCACGGCAGCTGAAACGCTTCAACAGATTCAACCACAACCATGGTTCATCTTGTGCACCACTTTTTAGACCAACTACGTCGTTTTTTAGACATTTTAATTTAAAACCAACAGAATAATCTATTTACTAGCCTTTAACACTGTATGCACTCAATACGTGTTTCAGAATGAATTCACGGTCGATTTTACTCTACACTTTCGTTCGCTCTTCAATTTATTTTCTTTCATGTACAGCCACTGATTATTTATATATTATTGAGGACAGGCAAAGTCCATTAAATCTAGCTCGGCTTGGTGTTTAGTAACGATACTAAGTACATACACTGGTCGGCAGTTTCGTTAACTACCGAAAATCAGTATAGTTCTATGGTGTACTAGAATTTAAACGAAATTCAAGTAGGTGCTTAAAAAAGAGAAGCATTCCTTTAAACACACCCGTTGATGACTGAATTTAGTACAGTTTGACAAATTTGTCATGGTTTGTAGACGTGTACATAATATTAATCCTTAAGTTGATAACCACGGATGAGAATTTACCCTATATACTTATGCTTGAAAATAAAATTGTCTTAAAGAGAGCAAGAACAAAGATTGGTGCAGAATAATATGCATTCATTTTATTTCGTTAGGTTCTCATCAGCTGCTTACAACCTAAAATATTTGAAATTCAAAATTATTACAGATATTGGAATATTTATACATAAGAGGGTGATTAAGGATGAATAAATGTATGATGGTGTAGCGAAGATTCCGATAGGGTTAATGAGGTCATAAAATTTTGTCTCGAATAATGACGCAATAAATAAACAGAAATAAATGAATAAAATAGGGGGTTATTGTTATCAGGGTAAAGAAAGATTTATTACTGTCTCTTTTTGTATACATAGATCTGGTTTAGACGTTTGATTGCTATTGCTTCGGCAAATTTCAAGAGGGAACTATGTGTATGAAATAAAATTGTCATCCACTTGTACTTCTCTTTGCCACAATCATTACATCCATTTTTATATTGGTTGTTTGGATCTTCCCATTGATGTTTAGAACTGCAATTGATCGGTCTTTTATCGGCACATGTACATCCTGTACCTATTTCTTTGATATTGCCTTAAATTACAAGCATTATAAGCAGAGATAGATGGTGGCTAGCAGTGGGATCCAGGACGCAAGTTGCGCCCTATTTATTCTGGGTGCTGGGTTCGAGTCCCGGAATGCACACCAATTCCGGTATGCTGGTACATCCAGTGGACGAAACCCGCATCCTAGATCCCACCGCTAGCCACCATCCATCTCTAATCATAATCATTACAGTTCGGAAAAGATGTTCAACTTAATATCGTTACGATGTCTTGATAATGCCCGTCAACAATGAATAAATTTCTTCCGTATTAGAGTAGCAATAGTAATTATTTCATTGATTAATAAGTGATGTTCACGGTTTTTAGGCATGCCAGAAAATACATGAATTCAGTGAAACAAGCTGATGATTATCGTGCCACAAAACTTGGTCAGGCGATGATTTTATTGGCAATGCGTACACCTGAAGAACTTCAGAATAAGGCAGTATGTTTAATTTTCTTGATTTTACTGAAATCTTATCTTTTGTTCATGGTAAACTAAATAGAACTTTCTACAATAAACCATCATATTGTGGTTTTGTGTAACATTTAAATATTAACTATATTCTCTGTTCACATAAAATTAACCATAAAACAATTATCATAGATTTTAACAATTAGCATGTGGTAAAAACTAAAAAGAACTCTGTTATTTAAAGCTTTCTAATTTTATCTGCATTACCATTCACGGATAAAAGCGTCTTTACAATATTCAGATAGTAGAAATTGAAAATAAACCTTTATAACTAATAACTTTGACAGCGCACATCCTCATTGAAGTGAATAGAATATTCCTAAATTAGTTATCAGTAGATATATTGATCTTTCTTTTAAATTTTGTGTATATATGAGAACATATATCTCTTGAATAGAGAATTTTCCCCGGTCAGTACTTTGTTTCGTTGTACATAACCCATATAGTACCAGTTGAACACAAAAGAAGTCCCATAATCTGAATCTTAGTCTTGCCTAACCCCTAACATCTTTTGCAATAACTGTATGCTGTGATGTAGATTTTAGACTATATATATAGTAGTTTGTAGTTATTCAATGACTGTAAATACAAGACCTTGGGACTCATACTAGCACAGAGAGGGGAATCAGCATACTGAAAGAAAGAGGAATAGAAATAATATTAACTGCAACGCATATTAAAACATCGAGATAACAGTACAAAGAAACAAATGAAATTAGAGAAATAAAAATTATACACAATATTTAGAAAAGGGTAGAGTTTTTTCTTGGTTCACTGTGATATAAATGAATGCGATATCTATTGTTTCGCACGTTTAGTGCTGAATATTTAACTCACTAATTATCTGGCATAATTGCAATTGTGTCCGAAAGTTAATTTTTAGTACATGTTTTTCTCCTTTCTTAGCATCAGAATAAGCTAACTGAGGAGTGGATAGTTAAACGGACTCATGAAGTACTTATGGAATTTTACGCTTACAATATTAACACCCCGTTTCAACTGGCTGTTAATGCTGGAATTACAGCAATTAAAACTCAGTATCCTTTTTTATTCCAAATAAACTATCAGTTATATAATTATACATTCATACGTTACCTATGTAGTATTTTGCGATGAACTCTTTACAAAAGTTAGAGCTAATTGGCTTATTTGTCAGCAAACCCGTTATTCACAAGTAAATACTTAGTCTAAATGTTTTAGTTTATTCTCCATGGCAGAAAGGTGCCGACTGTAGTAACATATGTTCATCTCTTAACAATAGGTAAATAACATTAGTGCTTATGATGGTGGGTTACAGATTCAAGTTCTAGTGAGACAACCAACATTGGGATGACCGTATATCTAGATGGTAGAGGGCACATCCTGGGTGCTCTTATAATTATCCAATATACCACTATTTGTTTGTCAATTTAATTTTGTCCAGTTAAACTGAGCAGCTCAGCTGTAACATCTCTGACCATGGCACCAGTTTGAATCCCACAGAGAGCATCAGTTTCTCGAAGATAACAGGTATTCCTTGTGGACGAGTACAGACAAGTGGGGAACCAAGATCCAAACTTCCTTTCCGTTGCTTTTAATTATCTAACATCAAAGTGTATTCACCGATCGCAAAAATTTACAAACCTTTACCTCAAACACGTGTTGCTGAACGTAGTTGTCATTAGACGTAAACAATCCTTTTGATGATTGAACGCTGATAGTCGTCTAACATCCTCAACTCGGAGAGATCAGGTCTTTCAAGGATAGAGAGAAACTGCTCACTGACGCATTGATGACCCGACATTTTTCAGTTAGACTAACGTCGTGTTGGCGCCAAAGATGACTCATTGACAGCACCCGCTCTGGTTTCCACGGTACATAGAGTAATCTTATTACTCATGCCACTACCAGCACTAACACAGATACTCAGACTTTTCGATTAACTCCAACTACTCGTCTTCAAGCGTGGTTGTAGACATAGACTATCCCTGTCTTGTGAAATCACGTTGCATTTAGAGGATGCACAGTACATCCCATACCGGCGAGACTATAATTTATGGACGAACCAATCAGATATAAGAATGACGAGTCGCGAATTTTGGCGCGAAATTCATCTATACATTTAGCTAAATATAGTTTTGGCATTATAGCTTATGTTTGTATACAGAAGTCGATGAACGTCTCAGGCACATCCTTCTACAGACAATCTCAGGGAACAGTCTAGTCCAACTAATCAAGGCGACCCTGATGTCAAGAAACACATTGATTATTATCGTGCAATAAGTATGGCAGATCTCCAGAAGTTCCGTACGACCTTTTCCTCTTTAGACGAATTAGTCTTCATTGGCCTGGGTAAAGGAGAAAGTTTGACTAGTGTTGCTGGTTTGACAGACCAGCTGAACTGTCCCTCTAGGGCTTTTACCCGTCCTCCAAGACGTCACCAGATGTTATTGACTGGTGTCCCATTAAATTCATAGATTGTCTAACTCACACTAGGCCTCTTATCTAATATAATTAGTCTTTCCGTATCATTTATAACTAAATCAGGACGTCATGCTTTCTATAACCTTACATCACTTCTTCTAGTTACTGTTACAACCCAAATACTCAACATCGAGACTGTGCTGTTTGTCATCCATTAATCAACATGTTGGCAGTGAATTTACCATTTGCTCGTCATGATCATTCTATATTAACGTGTTACAAAACTGGTCTTCCTATGAATGATGAAAATCCCCCAATGTCATTACCAAATGGTTATGTTTACAGCCAAAAGGTATGTCAAACTTGCTTTAAATAAGTTTCATTAATTTGGTATTTCAGAAAGGTTTTCAGTACATTTATACTCGAATATATGGTATAGTTGACTTTTAGCTCTTTACATCCGAAAGGTAAACTGAAATGAGAAACTATTTTTTAAAACTGTAACTAGTGTTTATATGGACTAATTTCCCAGTAGAAATATGGATATATGATGCAGAATATCTTTTAAAATAAATTCTCACTAGGTTCTAATTCATGAATAGCCAAATTTAAACCACTCTTTAGAATACTGCGTATTAATTTAGGATTATAAACGTGGTATTCATCTGAATATGTTTGGTTGTCAATTGTATCTTCACTAATCATTGTAATATGAGAAACACAAGGTATGAGAAATACTAATGTAATTAAAAAATGGGTAAAATTTTTTATCTGATAATTAATTTGAAGTGAAGAAGGAATAGTGAAATTAAGTGAGTACTGATGTTTCTTGTATTTACGAAATTGGTAAAAATAATACCAGGATGTTAGTCAAATCACATAAAAAAAATTTATGGTAGCAGCTTTAAGTCAAATAAGTTATAGGATTGATTGACTTAACTGCACATTATCTTATTATTATGGATTGAAAACTTATTTATTATAGCTACGTGTTGATTCCACTGGCTGAAGAATGATGATAATCATAAAGTATATATTCTGTCGACCTAACGCTTTGGCTAATAAAAGAAATTGGAAAAACACGGCACTCTTATCTGCTCTTAGTTCATTAGTTTCGGACGATTGGCGGCACACTAGGGAGCAGTTCAGTTGGCCTTCGGCTACTCTACATCTACCCACCATTCTCAGACAGCCTGAATGGAATATTGAAGTAGGTTCCACGACTCTAGCAGAAGTCCAAAAGGATATAGCTAATCAGAAACGAGGAAGAGCAGCTGGTCCAAATGGATTGGCTCCAGATATCTTTAAGTATGGTGGTCAAAATTTAGCGATTAGGTTTACTAATATTTTAGCTAAATCCTGGGAGTTCGATGTAATCCCAGTTACTGATTGTCTCAATATATATGAGAAGGGGGTCAAAATCATCCTGCAATAACCATAGAGAGATTAGTTTGACTAACATAGCATCTAAAGCACTAACATCATTAATTATCGGGCGCTTAACAAAGACTCATGAACTGCGAACGCGAGAAAATCAGGCTGGCTTCAGACCTGGTCGTGGCCGTATCGGCCACATATTCACCATTCGTCAGGTTCTTATTTCTTATTTATTTATTTGAACACATATATATTGGTACAGGAGTGCGCCGAATATATATGCGCCACACAAAACAATGAGAATCTAAGAAGAAGAAAAAGTGAGGAACGTAAAAAAAAAGATAAAAAACAATAACGAAGAGATTGGTGTAAGGTAGTGTAATAATAATAATAGCAATAGTAGGGGAACAGAAGGGTACAATCAGAAGAAATCTTTCAGTTAAGGAAGATACAACCACTTTTTTTTACGAAGAAAGTAAAAGAAGGTTACAGCAGGATCGCCACTGGCTTCTATTCTGAGCCATATCTGATAACGTCTCTAGCCACTGTGTAGCACCATCTCTCGGACCCCAACGAGGGAGTCGTCAGGTTCTAGAACGCAGGCATGCTTATCGGCGTCCGGAAATGATAGTTTTTCTTGGTTTAAAAGCAGCATTTGATTCTGTAGACCAAGAGCTTCTGGAGCAATGTCTGTCATTGAAAGATGTACCTCAGAAGTACGTAGACCTTGTGAAGGCACTTTACTCGAACACTATTAGTCGAGCCAAAGCTTATGGCGAACTATAATCTGATCTTGTAACCTCAAGTGGTGTCCAACAAGGCCGTCCACTATCTCCACTTCTGTTCAACTTCACCATAGACATACTGATGGAAACAACGTTCTCGTCCACTGAATTCTCGGGCATTGATCCCCTTCCAGGTGATCCACTTATCGACTTAGAATATGCAGATGACATATTCATGTTTGGTGAAGACGCTGATAAAATGCAGTCTTTTGGTAGCACTGAGCAACAATGCCAGAATGTTTGGGATGCGCTTCTCCCCCTCTAAATGCAAGCTGTTGCTCCAGGAATGGCCTGCGTCACCACCTGAACTGGGGATAGGGAGTGAAGTAGTCAAACGCGTCGACAACCTCACCTTAGAAGTCTGATCGGCCCTAATGGGTCGTTGTCTGACGAAATTTCTGGATGGATTCAAAAGGTTCGTTTGGCTTTTGCAAACTTACGTCACCTATGACGAAGGCGAGATATCCATCTATCGATTAAGGGACGAGTATACTGCTCAGCACTTTGTTCTCTTCTACTTTACGGCTGCAAAACGTGGCCATTAAGAGTGCACTATAATCGTAAGTTATTAGTGCTTGAGCATAAACGTCGTAGAATCATTGCTCGCATCTGCTGGGACCACCGGGTAAGTAATAGTGAGGTTAGACGTAGAATATTAGGGAATGATGGTAAGTCAGTTGATGAGGTTGTAATTCTTCATCGACTGAGATGGTTGGGCCACGTGTTACGTACGCCTGAACACCGATTACCACGACGCGCAATGCTGACTGATGTTGGGGATGGTTGGAAGAAAGTTAGGGACAGCCAAACCAAAACGTGGCATCAGTCCTTGAAGTCACTAACTTCTAATCTTAGCCATGTTGGTAGATGCAGACTACTTGATTGGGGTTTGCGTGACTATCGTAACCAATAGTTGGAGACGCTGGGTGACATGGCTCAGAATCGATCACAATGGCGTCGGTGGATGCACTCTCTGTTCTCACTTAACCTGTGAGATTAAAATTGCTTTATATCTTTCAACGAACTAATTCTTTCTCCCTGTATCATATCTTTATATGAAATCTGTTTTTACTACCATTGAAGTAACTGCTTCTATAAACTTGGTGTTCATCTTGTACTAATGAGGTATGACAACTTGGACCGGTGCATATGTGTCTGGTCCGACGTCGTAGCTGACTGGCTGACCGAAAACTTTCAAGACAACAGCATATCGAGGCGAAACATGAGTATACTCCGGATACTTATATTTTAGGTATCCCTTTAAGCGGACAAACCCCGAGTGAGTAAGCACACACAGCGCGAAAGACATTACAGGTAATATAAAGACCAAACCTCCTAAAGTATCAACAAACTATGAATCAAAGAAAGCACCTCATGTGGACATTGATTTCAAAAGTGATAGCACTGCAAGCAACATGAAGAGGATTATTCCTAAATGTCTCGAAAGGATCGATGTTCAGCAATGACCTAGATAACAAGCTCTTGCATCTGACCACTTCTGTGTGTATTTTTAAGTTCACTTGCTCCTGACGTGCTAGGTATATAGGCCCTTCGATAAGTCTCTTTTTTGAAAGGATTCAAGGAAATAACATGGTTAAAAATGTAGAGCTGAATCAAAAACCTCTGTTATGACCTTGGATGTCTGACTTTTCTCCCACGCGACTTATCTCCCAATCCGAGTACGACTTATACGAATCTTCACACTAGGCCAACCAATGACGTTCAACCGGTGTGGGCAGTTTAGCGTCCTTATTGGTCCTGTCCTCCGAGCCCTTCCACTTGAGTCCAGAACACAATACCAGCTTCCGAATCAGAGCAGATCAGACCAGATCGGTTATTTCAGACATACCCGATTTATATATCAATCAGACAGACCACAACGTACCATAAAATAGGAAATAATATTTGTACACAAATAAGCCAAAAAGTGGCTGTGAATGAGGGGGACAGTAATTAATAGACTGAGCATAATTTAGGGACAGTAAATCGTACAATAATAAAATACAGGTCAAAATAAAGCTTATAATAAGAGGAATATAAATATACATAATCTAATTATTCAATAGTTTTACAATAAAAATATTTATAGAATATTAGTCCATGAATAGTCCTTGGGAATTACCTGTAATTTAATCTTCACCAGGTATAACACCTCCCCCTTTTTTTAGATTCCAAGTTTAGATCCTGATTTTTTTTTAAATTATGTGTAACCGGATATAACAACCTCGATAATTGAACGACTTGTGAACAAGTCTATACAGAACACAGTATTAGTTTTAGTGCATAATTAGTTGTAATATGTATCGTTTGGGAAATGATTAGTTGAGCGTTACATTCTTTAGTTGTTATCAACAATGTTTTCAATAATGATGGAAATAACATCTTATCTTTATCAATCCATCCCAATATAAAAGTTAACTGTTACTGTGTATAAAGTCTTGTGAAAAATGAGAGAGTGACTAGATCCTTAGAATAAGATGACTTTATTCTACTCCAAGGCTTTACACTAGCTGTAAACAAAATTAAGTTACACCGTATAATATGATCAGTGTTAAAGATTTGACACCATTTGTTTAATGAAGTTGAGATGCAGCTCAAAAGAGGATAGGCATTCCGAAGACACAAAATACAGGACTAAACACTTCGGTTAAGATTAAATATGACTAATCTATTTACGTAAATTAGGGGGAGTGAGTTCGTTATTTCATAACTATGGTTGTCACACAACAACCCACATCAATAGGACTACAAATCAATTAAAGCAGAAATCTAGTTCAAGATACCAATGCAAATCCTTGGAAAATAATTTTCAATATATAGTAAAAAATCTAATACATTTTATTGGTTTTATTAATTTTACTTGTTTTTGTAGGGTATCGCTGAGTTAACACGTCCAGATGGAACAATAACATGTCCTCGTTCAGGGAAAACATTTGAAGCCTCAGAAGTTCAGAGAGTCTACATAGTCTGATTGCTTGACAGTTTTTCCGATATGCATCCACCATTACATTGTTACCTTTTTTGTTCTTCATTCATAATTTTCACTTCTCGCCATCAGAATATCTTGTGGATGATCTTATCTTTCATCTTTTCGGTTGGTAATTGTACAAAGTTCTTCCATGTACACCGTCAATATTTACGACCGACAAAATGATTACTATGAGTTGTATACATTATATTAACCTCATTAATATGTATTGTAATTATTGCATACAACCTCATACCAAAAAATTTAAATAAAGATTGCCACTTCCTGATTTTCGAGCAAAACTTAACAGTAAACAGTCTACTTGGAAATTACGTCGAACAAGATAAGGTATCACAATAACTAATCGCAACTACGTTTTGAAAACTAAAATCATGTTAAGATGGTCTTATAACATACTGATGATTAAGGCGAATGAACTGCTAATTTTTTAGTGGCAAAAACGCCTTAATCTTATATGGATAGATTTCAGAGAGCAGGATCATTGACCAACCGACGGAGTAAATACGAGATTAAAATTATTTTCATATAGAATATATTTAACCCAAAATAGTGATCTCATCTATAAAACCGTTACCGTACGCTATCCAAGTCTAAGAGCAATAAGCTCTTTCGCTTAACAATAGGTGACAAATGAAGGGGAAATCAATCTAAACCGAATAACGATGAAAAATAAAGTTATAATGTTCGTTGTTACGACTATCTGCATATGCTTAAATGCAAGGCAAAGGGAGGGATAAATTATGAATTAAAAGACTATCACTCTTCTTACACACAATTCATTAGAACACATAAATACTGGTACAATGAGGAACCAGATACATATGCGCCACACAAGTCTCACTTGATTTGTATGAGGGCTGTGATACTACCCGGGTGCCCAAACGAAGCAAGCTGTTTTCTTAGGGGGCCACACCCAGAGCCTTTGACCTGGAGGTCCAGTCCAGTGGATCAACGTAAGGAGATGCAATCCCTTGGTAGCCGGTGACCAATAATTGGTTCATACGCCGTTTGTTCGCTCAGGATCCTGGAGCCCATGTGCACCATTAGTTTGGAATCAGGGTTTTCCAACTCCCCTAGGTGGACTCTCCGTGTCCACCAACCCGGTTAAAGCGCCGGACACAGTTGATCACTGGAAAGTGAACTGCATGCAACAGTGTAATCATAACAATATAAGTTTACTAAGTAGTATCTGATATTAACTTGTTTTTACTTGATAACAAGCTGTACAACATATTCAGGGATCGGTGATTGTACTAGGTAGTGCAACGATAAATGAATGTTGTCTTGCTAACAAAAGCGAGACATAGCGATATTATCCTGCACTTCAGAACATATCTTCATACAATAGTACAAGAAATCACAAATGATTTTTACGGATCCTCCAAACTTGTCACTGAGATACAGTTTTTTTATAAATGTTTTTGACGGAATTACTATCGAATCCCATTGTAAAATAAGACGCAAAAAACACGAAGTTTTGATTGCATTACTTAAATGCTTGAAATTTGTACAAAAATACACATTCTAAAGGCCACAAAATAAAGTATTAGTTCTTTTTCTCTCCTTCATTTGTATCCAAGTCAACGTTAACATTGGAATCTGTTGTCGGGATTGACGAAAAATGACTGTCGTTTACAACTTGATAACTTGAGTTTATTTCATCACTATTTTCAAAGCCAAGGATCTCCCCAGTCTGTGCCATACTTGCTAACAGATCACTAGACATATATTTCTCAAGAATTTCACGTTTGCGCTGGGCTACTAGTGCTGCTTCAATCTGCAAATACAAATACGTGATAATCGTAAGGGTAATTAAAGAATTAAAAAAAACTTGATGGTAAGTGTTTTATCAAGCCTGCAATCAGTGGTAGATTGAATGCTATTTGATAAAAAAAAGTACAAAACACAGATTGGCGAGTTGTGTGCATTATGTGTTGGAGGTTTTACAATAAGATTATTGATAAATGCATAATATCTCAAAGCTACCTACAGTGTTTCAACATAAAGTTGGGTCTGGATCACATCGCATGCAAAATGTGTGGCGCACGGGATGTTTATAAAATACATTATAAATAATTTAGACTACTACATTACAGCATCTGCGCTTATCGTAAGGTTAAAGGAAGTAACGAACTATTTTATAAAAATCTGAATATTAATCTCACCTGCTCTTGTGAGTAGATTGGAACATGGGCGACGAATGCTCGCTTCACCGTGGTGCTTAAAGAACTCATAGATTTGGTTGCCGACCTTCCTGTATGATCATCTAAGTCATCTGTATTTTCGTCGTCATTTATTAGTGCTACTAATTGTTCTGCATTAGAAAAGTCAATCGACCCAACTTCATTATTTTCATCGATTGCCTCATAAAGACGCATCAATTCTATATCAGCCGGCTATGTAAGAAAAACAAAGTCAATCCAGATGTTAAATTATGCGAGAGCAAATAACACTTCAAAGTTGCTTGAAACCTAGTAACAAATTAGCATTTAAAAGGCAAAAGTGTATATACTCTGTGTGGGGTCAATAAAAGATAATAAACGTAGGGGTTAAAGAATCGCTTAAACAATTGTTTAATTCTAGGTTGGATAAATGAATATTTTAGGGGAAAATACTGAGAAAATGGAGACAGAATTCTTAGAAATGAAAATAAAGTGTTGTAGTTCATGTAATACCCAATCAGTAGGAATTCGAGAAGATAGGGACACACCCCATTCAGTAACAACGTAGAACTTCGTACGTACGTACATCAATTCGAGTTGCCACACCACATTAGCACACACCCCGGTCCCTCTTCGTTGTCTCCCACTGATTACAGTACGGACAAATTTAAATACCGTCAGTGGGGAGATCCAATCGATTAGTATTGCTTCTACCAGTGAGACAAAAATTCAAAAAAAAACAGATAAACATGCTATAGGATCCTCGAATAAACCCATGTAACGCAGCGGTTTCAAATAGATTGGTAGGAAGCGATTTTGTCGTACTTTACTAGTCCTGAATAGGGGTCTCGGATAGAAAACATTTTTCGATGTCAGGACTTCCTAGAGATATACTCAACCCTATCACTTGTCCGGTCTGCATTAGTGCGAGCACGCTGAAGGGTGCCATTTTGAATGGCACACGTGGTCTCAGGAAGGCTGATTCAAAATTCGTGTTCGGCGGTAGCACTCAACTGTCAATCAGTCAGTGACTTGAGACCGGTTAGAAAGGACAGAATTTCCACCATAGGTGAGCTGTTGTATTAGTTTGAAAATAAAATACAGAAAACGAGAATAAAAAGAAATATACAAGCCACGCATTGTAAAATAAAAACGAATGTCATCAGATAATCCTGTGTATAATACTGTCCAGTTCCAAAAACCACAACACGTGAGGCGGGATTCGGTTCCAATTTTTAGAAGCAGAAAGCTAAATCGTTTAAACACTAAGCCATCGCTCCATGAACATCATTTAGCGTAACTGAAACCTAAGGGACTTAAGATCAAGGTATGAATTTAAACAAATAAAGGTAAATTACTTACGTCTGTTACTCCTAATGAAGCATAGGCCGCCGACCAGCATTCTTCAACCCACTCGGTCCTGAGCCTTCCTTTCTAGTTCTGTCCAATTTTTGTTCATTTTTCTCATGTCTATCTCCATTTCCCGGAGTAATGTGTTCTTTGGTCTTCCTCTTTTCCTTTGACCTTCAGGATTCCATGTGGGGGCTTGTCGTGTGACGCAGTTGGGTGCTTTCTTCAATGTGTGTCCTATCCACTTCCAGTACTTCTTTCTGATTTCTTCCTCCGCTGGGATCTGGTTTGTTCTTTCCCATAGTTGGTTGTTGCTAATAGTGTCCGGCCAACGGATCCGAAGTATATTGTGTAGACAACTGTTAATAAACACCTGTATCTTCTGGATGATGGCTTTCGTAGTTCTCCAGGTTTCCGCCCCATACAATAGAACTGTCTTGACATTTCTATTGAAAATCCTGACCTTGGTGTTGGTTGACAGTTGTTTTGAGTTCCAGATGTTCTTTAGTTGTAAATATTCTGCTCTTGCTTTTCCGATCCGGGCTTTCATGTCTGCATCAGATCCACCCTGTTCATCAACGATGCTGCCCAAATATGTAAACGTTTTTACATCTTCCAAATCTTCTCCGTCAATTGTGACTGGATTGGTGCATTCTGTGTTGTATCGGAGAATCTTGCTTTTCCCTATGTGTATATTGAGACCTACTGCTGCTGAGGCTGCTGCTACACTGGTCGTTTTCTCCTGAATTTGTTGTTGCGATTGCGATAGGAGGGCCAGAACATCTGCGAAGTCTAGAAAGTCCAGCTGCATCCTAGATGTCCACTGTATCCCGCGTTTCCTTTCAGATGCTGACGTCTTCATGATCCAGTCGATCACCAGGAGAACGAGAAAGCGTGAGAGCAAGCAACCTTGCCGAACACCGGTCTTCACTTCGAACGACTTTGTCAACTGTCCTCCATGCACAATTTTGCAGTGTAATCCATCATATGAACTCTGTATGATATTGACTATCTTCTGAGGCACGCCGTGGTGTCGAAGAAGCTTCCATAGTGTTGTTTTGTTCACGCTATCAAATGCTTTTTCGTAGTCAATGAAGTTGATGTAGAGTGATGAATTCCATTCAATTGATTGTTCCACAATGATCAGTAGAGTTGCGATTTGGTCTGTACATGATCTATCCTTACGGAATCCTGCCTGTTGGTCTCGAAGTTGGGCGTCTAGGGAGTCCTTCATTCTATTTAACAATACCCTGTTGAAGACTTTTCCCGGTATTCAGAGAAGAGTGATGCCCCTGTAGTTATCACAGTTGCTGAGATCGCCTTTCTTCGATATTTTGATCAGAAGTCCTTTTTTCCAGTCTGTTGGTATTTGTTTCTCATCCCAAATCTTATTGAAGAGAATGTGGAGTATCCCTGCAGTTGCCGCTACGTCTGCTTTCAGTGCCTCTGCTGGAATGTTGTCTGGTCCTGCTGCTTTGCCACTCTTGATTTGCCTGATGGCCATGTTGATTTCTTCAATTGTTGGTGGGCCAACATTGATTGGGAGGTCCGTATGTGCCGCTTCGATGTTGAGTGGGTTCAGTGGGGCTGGTCGATTCAAGAGTTCTTTGAAGTGTTCCACCCACCTGTTTCGTTGCTCTTCGATGTTAGTGATTACTTTGCCTTCCTTGCTTTTCACTGGTCGTTCCGGTTTATGGTAATTTCCAGCGAGTTCCTTTTTTGTGTCATACAATTGTCTTATGTTTCTTTCTCTTACAGCCTTTTCCGCCGTCGTTGCTAAATCTTCCACATATTTACGTTTGTCTGTTCTGATGTTCCTCTTCACTTGTTTGTTTACTTCTGTGTATTCAGCTTGTGCCTTGGCTTTTTCTGCTCTTGTTCGACTGGTATTTATTGCTGCTTTCTTGTTCCTCCTTTCTTGAATCTTATCCAGTGTATCAACAGTGATCCATTCCTTGTGATGGTGCTTCTTGTGGCCCAGAACCTCATGACATGTTGAAGTGATTGCTTTTCTGATCCCCTTCAAGTTGCTCTCCATAGTAGTTCCTTCTCCATTGAGTGGATCATGAAAGGCCTGGAACTTATTGCTGAGGACTATCTTGAATTCGTTGAGTTTGTCAGTATCCCGAAGAAATAAAGGTATATGCGTTTACAGAAATATGTTTACGGCAATTATATGGAAAATTAGTTACAGCTAGAAACACAGCATATTAAGATGAGCCCTTGTGATTAATTGTCATATTATAAATGAATATCGAACACTCATACCCGAATATACTTACATTGTCACCAACGTCATATATGTTTCTGGTATCCGCATTATCCTCATCTAGTTCATCAAATTCATCCCCGAGCGGCTTGCATGAATATCCTGGTTGAGAGTCAGATG